CTCTTACTCTATCTTTGTTGTTGACCAAAAAATTCGTGAACCGTTTCTGATCGAAACTACTGGAAGAGCATTTTTCAATATTCACGGTAGTCAAGTACGTCGGTGTCTCGGACGTAGCTGCACACATGCACTTAGGCGTTTTCGTATACGGTCACTCTCTCGCAACGTTATGGAACATTCGGCTTTGAGTTCTTGTAGTGTTCGTTGTCTCTCCGTACTTTCTCTTTGTCAGATTTCTACTAGATTAGTTATACTAGAAGTTCTGATTTGCTGTGAGTTGCCTCTAATCAAAGTCACATTGGAATGCAGTCTATGAAATCTTTGGAAATGTGTTGGCTGGATCGCTTTCAAGAAATCTAATTTTTTTATGTTCAGGTAAAATGCTGGGCAGAACGAACATGATTTCGCGGAAGCTAAGCCTTTCGGCTGCTGCTAGAAACAAGGTTTGTTCATTACTTGTTCTCCCCTCCTTTTGTGTAATGCACACGTCCGGTGATTTACTTTGGCTTCTTTTCGAGTTTCTTCAGCCAAACTAAGCGTACAGGCAGGACTGAACTGAAGGCGCATTTGAGTCTCGAACAAACAATAAGAGTTTCACATTTACAGTAAAGTGGACCAAATTGCTTGCGAATGCACTTGGGGTCATGTGAGCGCATCCCACCTTTTCCATCTTTTCACCTTGTTCGTGTCACTGAGACTTTAGCGAGCCAAGTCAAAAGGCCCTGCGATCGCTTCCAGAGTAGGGGATTTTGTTGCGATAAGGTGGAAGTTCCGCGAATGGGTTACTGCGTTTTCGTGGGACTGATGGCACAGGAAATGGAGTCTCCCCAGCCATCAGTTCCCACGAAAACGAGGTACCCTACTGTTTGATAAAATAGAGGTAGAGCAAGGAAATGTGCACGATTGAGAGGCGGTGGTCGTACGATCAGGTAACTTCACAATCCTTGGCTACCCACAAACTCCCAAGGTCAGAAATGCTACCAACGCCTAAGGTATTCCCAAACAGCGCCCTTGGTCAACGTCTTAGTACG